TGTCGTAGCATGTGCCACTACCTCATTGATTTTCATGGCTGAATAATATTCCATTGTATGGATATGCCAACACTTTGCTTATTCATTCATGAATTGACGGACATCTGGATTGTTTCGAATTTTTGGCTGCTGTGAACAGTGCTGCTATGAGCACGCAAGTACAAGTGGGTGTTTGAGTACCCGCTTTTAATTCTTTCGGGTGTATACTCAGGAGTGAAACTGCTGGGTCATATGGCATTTCTATGTCAGTTTAGCTCTTTAAGGAAAATCTTTTTTTCAAAGTTCCCCCTGATGATTCCACATGAAGCTGGTGTTGAGAATTGCTGAGGTGTAAGATGGGTGAGGCCACAAGAGGAGACGGAAGGTGCATGGGGAGAAGGAGGCTCCGAGAGGGAGCGAGAGGGCCAGGGGCAGAACTCGGGAAAATAGCAATTCAGAGGCGGCGGAAAGAGAGCCCATAAAGGAGACATAACTGAGAAGGGAGAGGTGTCACAGATGGAGAAGAGAACCCCTCATGGGGGCACCATCTACATCAAATGCTGAAAGGAACTGAAAATCAAGAAAGGGAAGCGAGGGGCCAGGCACAGCGTGCTCGCCTGTCGTCCCAGCTACCCGGAAGGCTGAGGTAGGAGGATCGCTTGAGCCCAGGAGTTGGAGGTTGCTGTGAGCTAGGCTGACACCACGGCACTCTACCTGGGGTAATAGAGTGAGACTCTGTCGCAAAAAAAGAAAGAAGAGGAAAGGAAAGAGGAGAGGAGAGGAAAGAGGAAAGGAAAGAGGAGAGGAAAGGGAAAGAAAGAAGGAGGAAGAGAAAGAAGAGGAAAGGAAAGAGGAGAGGAAAAGAAAGAGGAGAGGAAAGGATAGAGAGGAAGAAGAGGAGAGGAAGCAGGAAAGGAGGCAGGAAAGAGGAGGAGAAAGACAGGAAGAGAGAGAAAGAAAGGAAAGAGGAGGAGAAAGAGGAAGAGGAGAGAAAGAAAGAGAAAGGAAAAAGAAAGAGAGGGAAGAAGATGAGGAGAGGAGAGCGAAAAGTGAGAAAGGAAAGGAAAGGAAAAGAAAAAGAAAAAGGAAACAGGAAAGGAAAGGAAAGGAAAGGAAAGGAAGGAAAGGAAAGGAAAGGAAAGGAAAGGAAAGAAAGAAAGGAAAGAAAGGAAGGAAGAAAGAAAAAGGAAAGAAAGGAGAAGGAAATGGAAGGAAAGGAAAGGAAAGGAAAGAAAGGAAAGGAAAGGAAAGGAAGAAAAAGGTCTGCTGCGTACAGCCGGGTGGAGACTTGGGGATGCAGCTTCATTCACTAAGGGCCTGGTTTTAAGAACTGGGGCAAATACCATAACCTACCCTGTTACTCATTATTTGCAGTTACATGGCAAAGACCATATCTTGTCTATTTATTTGCCAGTGATACCTAGGAACTTATAATGCAACTGCCAAGCCCATGACAACAAGCTTCCTGGACACATCAGTTTACACTTCACCAAATAACGTGGCAAGGTGCCTGCCAGATACTAACACGACAGGGAACTGCAGCAGAGCAGTCACTGGTCCCTGTTCTGCTAACCACGACAGGACCTCTCTAGGATTTTCACCACACAGAAAATATCTGACATCATAAGGCAATATTAGCAAAACTGTTTGAGTCTAACCTTCAGCAAAATATTTAACAAATTCTTACATTTCCTCCCTTTTCACTGCTTAAAATATAGTTTAAGTTTAAAGGTATTTTCTACTTTTATGCAACAGTCACCAATCTCTGAATCAATATCAATAAGAGAATGCTTAATGATTTCACAGAAAAGTTATTTTAAAAAAAAAAAAAAGTTACTTTCTTCCATAATTAGAAGGGAAAGGGTCACTCTCATAACTAATACATTTTAAAGACGAACGTGAGAATTAAGGTCAACGTTACGTTTGAAGCCACGTATTGCATTTTGCTTAGGTTTAAATTTTCAATGAATAGTAAGTACCTCTGAAACATACAAGTGCTTTTTTCTCTTTTAAGTATGTGCTGTTTTTTTGTTTTTTTTTTAATCTTGAGTGGGAGGCCAACCAAGAAATGTCTCTCGGAGTGGGAAAGCAGTGCACTATCCTTGATTCCCTTTTCAATTAATGCTTGTTGCAGACTGCAACAGTATTTAATTTGAAATTTCCTCTTTCTATGCCAATTGCAGTTTGAACTCCTCCCTGCGCAGTCTGCGGGCACACAGCCTCATGCGACGCACAAGCACTGTGAACGCAGCCAAAGCAGAAGGGGGAAGGGTGCTTTTTGTTTCTCTTTAAGGATCGAGCAGCTGGCAAGAAAAGACCGAGTTTCTGCAAAGCCTTTCAGCAGGCACTCTCGGCTGTCCCCCGAGAATCCAGGAGGACACATTTCCTTTTTACAAACCTCACGGGGTTTTAGTGTGGGGCTCTGAGCTACAGCTGACCAGATTTTCCACATTTTGTCTTGCTGTTCCTGTCCACCAGCGGGTCAGGGGGATGGCCCCCTGACCGATGTCACGACTGGCAGGCAGAGGTGACTGACTCACTGGGACTCTTGCTTTAGGGTGCAGGGCAACAAATCCCAGTGCTGAAGAACTCACAAAATCAAGTGCCCAGCTACTCAGCAACATGACAACGTAGACATAAAGGGAAAGTCATGGGGAAAAAGGTATTTTCCCACCATTCTCTCTATCCTTCCTGCCATCCGTATGTCCCTGATGGAAACTGCTCACGTGGAACCTGGGAGAGAAAGCACAGGACCAGCTTCTGAAAAAAGGAGAGCTCATTAGGTATGACACCAAAAGCACAAAGAAGAAAAAAGGTCAGGTGGAGTTCATCAAAATTAAAGCCTTCTTGTGTTGCAAGCAACACCATCAGAAAGTGAAAAGGCAACCTACAGAATGAGAAAAAATATTTACAAATCGTTTATCTTATCAGATACTTGTGTCAGGAGTATATATAAAGGACACCTATAACTCAATAATAAAAAGACAAATTATCTAATTTAAAAATGGGCAAAAGATTTTAATAGAGATTTCTCCAAGGAAGATACAACAATGGCCAATAAACACATGAAAAGATGTTTATCATCATTAACCATGCATTTAACCGTGGTTAATGCAAAGTCAAAACCAGAGTGAGATACCACGTCACCCCCACTAGGCTAACTAATCAAAAAGACAGGAATGGAAATACTCCAGACGTCACTGATGGAAACATAAAAGGGTGCAGCATTTTGCAAACGGTCTAATGGTCCCTCAAAAGGTTAAACACAGAGTTACCTCATGATTCAGCAAGCGCACTCCTAGATACATCCTAAGAGAAAATGAAAATATAAGTCCACACGAAAACTTGTACATCAGTCTTCACGGCAGCATCACACATAATGGTCAACAGTGCAAACAATCGGAATGTTTACACAACTGATAAATGGATGAACATGCGGTATATCCAAACAATAGAATATTACCCAGCCATAAAAAGAAGGAAGTACTGGCACACGCAACAACACGAATGAACCTTGAAAACACGCCAAGTGAAACAGGTCAGTGAGGAAAAGAGCACATCTTGTATGATTCCATTCATACAAAAATGTTTCAGACAGATCTATACACAAGAAAGTAGGTTAGCAGTTGTTCAGTGGGTGGAGGTGGGGTGGAAGAAGATAGCGATTACATGAGAACGGACACAGAGGTTTCTTTTTGGGGAATATGAAAATATTCTAAAATTGGTGGTGGTGATGCTTACACAACTCTGAATACACTAACAGCCCATGAGAATTACTTTAAATGGGGGAATTGCATACAATGCAAATTGCATCACAATAAAGCTGTTTGAAAAACAAGAGAGAGCGAGCCCATCATGAAACCGGGAGGCACGGCATTTCATTTCCAGGTGCCCCGGCCTTTCCCCACCGTCCCAGGTCCCTCACAACTGCCACGGGGTTCTAGCCATAGAGGTAAAACAGATTTCCTATTCACGGTTTCAAACACATTAGCTCCTCACCCCCAGCGGGCCTTGAACATCCAGCGACCACAGGCACAAAACCAACATGCCTTTCTGATACGGAGTCTCCACTAGCCAGCCCCCTAGCCCCCCTTGGCCTCTGATGATCACTCATCTTTCTAGTAATTTATTTTCTTTACAATTCTGTTTGACTTTCAAATCTCTGCCAGAACTGGACCTCTGAGTAGCCTGTCATCACTGGAATGCAACAATGGCCCTCCAACTCCCACCCATCCTCTGAAAAAAAAAAACCAACAAAGACTTCTGGTTAGATCCTTTTTTTTTTTTTTTTAGACAGAGTCTCACTCTGTTGCCCAGGCTAGAGTGAGTGCCGTGGTGTCAGCCTAGCTCACAGCAACCTCAGACTCCTGGGCTCAAGCGATCCTCCTGCCTCAGCCTCCCAAGTAGCTGGGACTACAGGCATGCGCCACCATGCCCGGCTAATTTTTCTATTTTTAGTACGGACAGGGTCTCGCTCTTGCTCTGGCTGGTCTTGAACTCCTGAGCTCAAGCGATCCTCCCGCCTCGGCCTCCCAGTGCTAGGATTACAGGCGTGAGCCACCACACTTGGCCTCTGGTTAGATCTTAACACAAAAATAGTTATCACACGAACTTATCCAAAGCTCCCTGTTAACTGAAAAGAAATACCCACTGACCATCAGAAAAGAGGCACCGAAGCCCCGTGAGTCTTGGGAGGACGAAGGAACCCAGCAGGCGGGACCTGGTAACTCCCCAAATCAGCTTGCGGCAGCGTTTTCCCAATTTATCCTCCCCCCCCACTGTGAATAGGACTGGAAGCCCTGGTTCTTCTTCCCTTTCTCTCCTCAGAAAACAGACCAAAGAAAAACGTAAAGCCACTAAAACTTGCCTTCTGCAAAATCTCTGATGCAACAGTTAAAAACAAATGTGTATTTTTGTTTCACCTTTTTGAGATACAAAAACGTCAAGCCTGGAGTTACCACGTGTCGATTTCTTCCATACAAACGCAGCGCGCAAACACGTCAGAGAACGTCCGGCTGTACCTGCAGCATATGACCGCCTTGCAGGAGAGCGCCAGGTCCAGGAAGCTCCTCCGGACTTCGAAGGACAGCGCGTACTTGAGGGTGTGGCCGTCGATGATGAGGGCCACGTCGTTCTCCTTGCCCAGCAGGGTCCCCAGGTCTGCGCAGTGCTGAGTGATGGCTGCCCTCGTGGCCTGAAACACAAGTGGGGGAAATCGCATTTTTGTGTGCTTGATGCATGGAAATGTATCAAAACCAAAACAGGATTCAAAAGGAAGTTCCTCCAAATGAGAGCCACCCCCATGGCGATGTAAAATACACAGACAGTTCAACGTGGCACGTTTACACATAAAAATCTCATGGGAATGTCCTCTAGGTCTGTCCTCGGGGTGAAAACACCCCCCTGCAGCCAGATCCGTTGGATATTTACAGCAGTAATCCCTTCTTGACGCTACACACGCATCATTCCTGCTGCCCCTAGAATAGGAAGCTCGATGTAAGTGAATGTGCTTTTTTTAGGTAAACACGGCGTCACTGGAACCTGAGTGGCAAACAGCTCTCAGTTCGCACAAGGTAATATTGAAAGCATCCCAAAGGTATGAAGGGGTATATAAATAACACGCAAGGTTAATTTCTATTCCTGCTGAGGTCGTCAGACCAAACCATTCTCTCCATGTATCTTCAGGACAAGAAATGAGCTGATCACTTTCACATGTTATAGAAAATACCTCATCAGGTTAAACTGCCAAAATCTACTAAAACAGCACTATCAGCCTTAAAAGCACCCTGGTAGGATGTTTATCATCACATGGAATTCAAGCACAGAACCACTACTAAGGTTAAGGAAAATTATGTTCGGGGCTTCCCAGTGAAGTTATGACAATGAATGAATAGGATATCTGGCTCAAATAATAAGAAAGCAATTTTTGGTTCATAAAAAAAAATCTGGTTTAAGTTAATCAGGAAACAAAGAAGTTTACTATAATTATTCTGTCACAGTCCTTTGGTTATCAAATTATATTTTTATGCAATTTATCACATGATAACATAAATTATAGCCTTAAAGAAATATGTTTAATGAACAGCAATCTTCTACTTCTAGTCAAATTAAGGATCGGCTACTATCCAAAGTGAGAAGTAGGTTCCTTCGTCTTACTGTTCAGTTTTGATTCTCAAAAAGCAACTTACAACAGTATTAAAAAAGTTTTATGTAAGAAACATGTGGCCAGGCATCCTGGGGTGCGGGCTCCACTCTCTACTACTACCTGTGTGACCTCAGTTGAGCTACTTAACCTCTTTGAACTGCAACTTTTCCATGTGTAAAATAGATCTGAAAACACTTCATTGCAATTTTCTTATGAACAAAGGAGTTAATCAGTGTAAACCGTTCAGCATGGGCTTGGCACATAGTAAATACTCAATAAAACCTACTCTTCTTCCCCTTATTGTTCACAAAGTATCTCCCATATCAAGGAAAATACGCATTTCTTCTACTTCCGGCAGTGAACAAAAACCACTAATGCTGCCTCCTTTTTCAACGTAACACAGGCATACCTTGTTTTGTTGCACTTCGCAGATAATCACATTCTTTTCACAAATCGAAGGCTTGGGGCAGCAAGTCTACGGGCGCCATATTTCCAATAACGCGCTCACCTTGCATCTGTGGCACGCTTTTGTTATCCGCACAATGTTTCAAACTTTTGCCTTATTATTATACCTGTTACAGTGATCTCTGAGCAATGGTCTTTGATGCTGCTAGTGTAATTGTTTGGGGTACCAAGAACTGTACCCATATAGTGATGCGGAAAATATCGGGCGCCAGGATACAAGCCACTTGCTGCCTCCTTGTAGCTCCTCTCCGCGGGCCAGCGCTACCCAGGGCCAGTTGGAGGGCATGCTGCTGCGGCCGGCCCCACAGCACAGAGAGGCGCCTGGGCCCCGCATGCAGGAATGCCCCCAGGCCCACGTGTCACTGCCTGTTTCCGGCCAAGCTGTTTGTGTGATCCTGATTGGGTCATTTTTGAATCCCACTGTTTTTGATTGGATGTTAAAGCTTGTTGTTGATTGGATGTTAAAGCTTGTTGTTGATTGGATGTTAAAGCTTGTAGTTGATTGGATGTTAAAGCTTGTAGTTGATTGGACGCTTTTGAGCCCTACCAAGGGTATAAAACAGGAGCAGAAGGGGCAAGAGAGAAGAACATCGGAAGACACGAAGAGAGCTGTAACACTAGGTGTGCTGAGCCTGCTGTAGAAGAATAAAGGCTGTTCTCCGACTCTTTGTGTGCCGCTCAGTTCTTTCCCTGGTCAAATGAATAAGAGCTGTAACACTAGCTGTACACATTGCCACAACAATACGGCTGCAAACTTAACTGATAAATGTCATTTGTGTTCTGACTGCTCCACCAACCAGCAGTCCCATCTCTCTCCCTCTCCTCGTGCCTCCCTATTCCCTGAGACACAGGAATATTGAAATTAGGCCACTTAATAACCCTGCAATGGCCTCCGTGTATGCAAGTGACAGAAGACCCACATGTCTCTCACTTGAAATCAAAAGCTAGAAATAATTAAGCTTCGTGAGGAAGGCCTGTCCAAAGCTGAGATAGGCCAAAAGCTAGGCCTCTTGCACCAAACAGCCACGTCATGAATGCAAAGGAAAAGTCTGCAAAGGAAACTAGAAGTGCTACTCCAGTGAGCACACAAACGATACGAAAGCAAAGCAGCCTTGTTGCTGAGATGGAGAAAGTTTGAGTGGTTGGGATAAAAGACCCAACCAGCCAGAACATTCCCTTAAGCCAAAGCCTAATCCAGAGCAAGGTGCCAACTCTCTTCAATTCTGCAAAGGCTCAGAGAGGTGAGGAAGCTGCAGAAGAAAAGTTTGAAGCTAGCGGAGGTCGGTTCATGAGGTTTTAGGAAAGAAACCGTCTCCATAACATAAAAGTGCAAAGTGAGGCAGCAAGAAGTTACCCAGAAGATCTAGCTAAGATCATTGATGAAGGTGGCTACACTACATTTTCAATGTGGACAAAACAGCCTTATATTGGAAGAAAATGCCCCTTAGGACTTTCTTACCTACAGAGAAGCCAATGCCTGGCTTCAGATCTTCAAAGGACAGGCTGGCTGTCCTGTTAGGGGCCAATATATAGCTGGTGACTTGACGCTGAACCCGATGCTCACACACCCCTCTGAAAATCCTAGGGCCCTTAAGAACGACGCTGAATCTACATTTCCTGTACTCGAAAAATGGAACGGCAAAGCCTGGATGATAGCACATGCATTTATGGCATGGTTTACTGAATATTTTAAGCCCACTGTTGAGATGTACAGCTCAGGAAAAAAGGTTTCTTTCAACATATTACTGCTCCTTGACAATGCACCTGTCACCCAGGAGTGCTGATGGAGATGAAGATATAGGAGGAGACTGTATTGTTTTCATGGCTCCTAACACAACACCCATTCCGCAGCCCATGGAGCAAGGAGACATGTCAACTTTAAAGCCTTATTATTTAAGAAAGATATTCCATAAGGCTACACTTGTCATAGATAGTGATCCCTCTGATGGATCTGGGCAAAGTAAATTGAAAACATTTTGGAAAGGATTCACCATTCTGTATGCTGCTGAGAATGTTCATGATTCCTGGGAGGAGGTCAAAATATCAACATTAACAGTGATTTGGAAGATGTAGATTCCAACCCTCATGGATGACTTCCTAGCATCTGAGACTTCAGTGGAGGAAGCAACTGCAGATGTGGTGGAAATAGCAAGAGAAACTAGACTTTGAAGTGGAGCCTGAAGATGGGACTGAATTACTGCAACCTCATGAGAAAGCTTGAATGGATGAGGAGTTGCTTTATATGGATGAGCAAAGAAAATGTTGTTTTTTGTTTTGTTTTGTTTTTGAGACAGGGTCTTAACTCTGTTGTCCAGGCTTGGAGTGCAGTGGCATCATCAAAGCTCACTGCAGCCTCAAACTCCCAGGCTTAAGCTATCCTCCTGCTTCAGCTTCCCAAGTAGCTAGAACTACAGGTGCGTGCCAACAGGCCCAGCTAATTGTTTTGATTTTTTGTAGAGACAGGAGGTCTGGCTATGTTGTCCAGGCTGGTCTCGAACTCCTGGGCTCAAGCAATCCTCCTGCCTTGGCCTCCCAAAGTGCTGGGATTCTGGGCGTGAGCCACCACACCCCACCCAAAAATGGTTTCTTAAGATGGAACCTACTCCTGGTGAAGATGCTGTGAACACTGTTGAAATGACAGCAAAGAATTCAGAATATTACATAAAGGTACTTGATAAAACAAAAGCATGGTTGGAGAGGACTGACTTCAATATTGAAAGAAGTTCTGCTATGGGTAAAATTCTACCCAACAGCATTGCACAACAACAGAGAAATCCTTCATGGAAGGAAGAGTTAATTGATGTGGCAAACTTCACTGTTGTCTTATTTTAAGAAATAGCCACATATACCCCAAACTTCAGCAACCACCAAGGCAAGACCCTTCATCAGCAAAGAGATTAAAGCTTGCTAAAGGCTCAGATGGTCATTAGCATTTCTTAGCCATAAAGTATTCTTAAATTAAGATATGTACATTTTTTCAGACATAATTCTATCACACACTTAACAGACCACAGAATAAACATAACTTTTACATATACTAGGAAACCAGAAAAATAGTGCAACTCGCTTTATTACAATTTTTGCTTTATTGCAGTGATCTGGAACCGAATCCTCAGTATCTCTGAGGTATGCCTGCAATAGATGGATAATTAACACAGCTCTTCTCTATGGATAAAATTTAAGTTTACTTTATTAAAATAAAGGAAACTTCACACTTTTTATTGTTAGTTATGTAAGTCTGAATCTCAAGCAAGCATCCTGAAAACGTGTATGCTTATCTTATCTGTAAAAACAGCCTGTCCTTTATAATTTGGGTAGAAAGAACATTCCTCCCACTTAGAGAAATCCCAGCTTGACAGCCCGGGTGTTTCACTAGGGTGCTCTGACAGGTCTGAGCAATTCCGGAGGCTGTGCCTGCTAAGGGTTAATGCAGGGAGGACAGAAAAACTTCCTAGGACCCAGTTCACCAAGGGAATGGGGCAGGTACGCAGATTCGACCCAAGGACAGCGTCCTAAGGGCTGCAGTCAAGTCCCCCAGTCTACCCCCATCGGCCTCCCCTACGACTCGTGCCTGGATCCAAGGA